ATGACGAGATCGCATGCTAGCATACAAACTGACCGAAAAAAATCAACTTCAAAAGCTTATTATATTATGAATGTTATTGGTTTCCCTCGCGTTTGCGAACATATTCCCAGAAATCCTCTTAGAAACAGAAAATTCTGCCAAGGAAAATGGATGTATCGACCATCGGTCAATTGAYTGTCTGCTTACAACAGGTCTTGACACAAATTCAGCTGAACAGATGCAAGCGCTTCTGAGTGGCACACGATCATCAACAAAATACAATTTTTACCGATGAAACCGTTGAAGAAATTTTTAATAAGCAAAACCACAATATTTACGCAAAAATTTCAAAGGTTCTGCTGTACACTTGGCCTCCAGCAGTGGTGTAAGGTGACATTTTGCCCCATTTTATCCATTCCAGATACAAACATACAGTATTATTAGAAAGACATACTTTCTAAATTTCTTACAGGTAAATTACATATTCAATGATATCACGAACATATTCTCTCCTAATTTCAATAATATTTCTCGCGGATTGACCATCATTTTCGGTAAAAATGAAGTCAGAGGCCTTAAGATACATGTTGCGAGAGTAAAAAATAATCAGGATAATGATGCTAATTGATCTGAGAGATATTATAATAGATCCAACAAAACCGAAGTAAAATTGATTACTGAAAGTCGTATATTGCCCCCACACTTTTGTTAACATAAGGCCAATTAAAAATGCATAACATTCACAGATATAGCGCCACACCACAATGTAGGATGATTGACGATAATCGCGTGTGAGTGGGTTGTTCCACTTCAACACTATGCTACGAACTGAAATGGCACCGTTTATACTTGCGAGTCGTAAACATATCGTCAAACTCGTAAGGTAATCACAAACGCGAGTTCCACTTTTGCGACTTAGCCGCTACCACCTTAAACTTTGCTAACGCTTTTGTCTTCAACTCACATTGGTTTCCACCATCTCAACTTCGTTACTGGATATTTTATACAATATTTATTTTACGCTTGCCTCATTATGCCAAAACGTGCAATTTCAATGCGCACCACGCCACACTAACAATGATAGAACAGTGACTACAAATACGATTGTGAATTGTAGTAACGGAGTTCAAACCACGACTTCATGTTGACTGTTGCACATTGACTTCCTCAGTAAATACACATCTATATACAAACGTATCTGAATACATTGTAATTATATAACTACCCGTTAGGAAAAATCGAGGTATGTTCATAATCAAGTTTTTATTGATTTTAACTCACTAATGCACTGATTCAAACTATGCCGCCTTAATTAGTAAATATTTTGTTTTAGAAAGTTTCAATTTTTATTTCATTCCCACTTTTTTCTTTCAAAAATCTTTTCYGTTTAACAATTGATAACTTTTTATAGATATTTATACATATATATATATATCTTAAGTACACTTAAATCAAAAAGCCAGCCACAAACAAAGTKTTTTAACTGTGATAAGTGGTTCCTCAAACATTCGAAAGTTGTTGAAAGCCAATTGTGGGCATTTGTGTTTTAAAGTGCCAATTATGACGCCTTCAAAGGATTTCCTTTCTTCCACCCTACTTACGGAAGTTGGCTACCTATGTGAGGTATATACCTTGAGCCACCACAAAAGAGTAGTATATACAAAATAGTCAGACGTCTATCTACATTGCCACTCTCCGAGTATTGTAGAAAAAACGTCCACTTTATCGAAGGCGTTTAATCAGGGATGCCGAAATAAAACTGTTAATGCAAAAGCATAAAGAGTGACAGTTAAATGTCATTGATCGATAAGCTGACGTTCTAAAGATTTCAATATAGATGGTCATGAAATGCATGAGTCGGTCGTAGAATTCCATATCAACCTATTCTTCGAATATCTTACCSAATATCATTTCGAGTCTTTAGATCATAAGATCAGAGCTTTCGGCAGATAAATATAGAGTTAAATGATTGTATAAATTACGTTACGTTATTAAATTATGACCATCAATTCCATTTTAAGGGAAGGACTTTTGAAGCATATGAAAAATTCTTTCGAGTATATATAATGTGAAAGCATGTGAACGTTTTTATATTAATATGTGCAATTAAGCTCGTTATTAATATGCCTGAAAATTCTCATGTTTACTGTTCATATCTAGGGACTTGAAAAGTACCATATTGTCCGTTTACGATAATTTTTGGGTGACTGTCACAATGCATAAAGTGCTAAATGGAAATTTTTCTATTGACTTTTTATTTTACCTCAATTGCCGATACCATTAACAGGGCATTATGAAAATTAATCACAAAATTACTAAATTCAACTATCGTTCCTGCATTTTCTTACTTCAGAATTACGAAAAGCGCTCCGTATTAATGATATAATAGTCCSTACACCATTATTTATTCCTTCCGTTTGGTTAAACACTGAAAAGACAGGTAAAATTTTCACTTTTTTTCCCAATGTTGTGATTACCTATATCACTAAAAGCACTGCTGTCACATATTAATACAACAATTTTAGGGTTATTGCACATAAACGGTATTTAGAATTTATGTCTTTTTTATGTCAACAAACAATTAATCTCACTACAAGTGTTTACGATCAGCAATACTCTTGGCAAAAGCCATAACCAGAAGCCTGTCTGAGTTTTATAGCATTTTTACGACTTAACGCCACTTAGCATTAAACCACAAAATCAGTAAACATCAACAGGTCGCATCTCCCTGATTTTCACCAAACCAACAAATTGTCTCAAACACAGATCAAGCATTGCAACTCCTCTCCTTTACTTTTCAACTCATAAACTAATACCACTCATTTTAAAACAATTGCATCGTTGCCTCGGTCATATCAGAATAGTGTTCATTGGCGAATTTGAGAGTGTGTATTGAGGAGAGATCGTTTTATGCCCTCGAAAGATGAGTGAGTGTAAAGTTAACCACCGCTGCAAATCAGAGGCAACTAAATGTTTTGCCTTTGTACCCTGTCTGCTATGTGTATGCGTTTATTGCTTTTCATTAGTATGTGCGTATATGTGTTTGTGAGGTCGGACCCATTTCATAGATTTTACGACCTTTTTACGATCATCACAAGTACGGCAGTGCAATGTTGTATTCGTGTAAAGCATGCCATATAAAAGATATGGTATTTAGCTTCCCTGACGTACGCATTTTTTATGCCAAAGATTCATCGTTCTTATTTCTTCATTTTCATTGCAATTGTTGCCATAAGGTGATGTTGTTGTTTTTTTACGACGTGTTACAACCATTACTATAGCTCTCTATCTTATAGTTTTGTTGATGTTGATATTCATGATGGTTACGACGTTATGGATTTCATGATGACATTGATGACTTCTTGATGGTTTGTTAATAGCTACCCGTTGTTAATTTTTCACTAGATAGAGAAGGSAGGAAAACGAAAGTAAAAGTATGGTTATGTGCACCTCATAGTTATCAACACCAACAGTAGCATTTATTTATTTTTGCTATTCCTTCTTTTTTCGTCTTCTTAATGATTTGTTTTCATTGCAAGAACTATTTCATTTACAACTAGTACCTTCGCCATTTATAGCGTGTTTAGTTTGAAGTTATTTCATTTATGTATGGCTATTTGCGTGCTTTTATGGTTAAAAAAAATATATATATATGTATATATATAGATGTCGTATGTATATATATAATATTGATATGAAAGAGAAATAACAAGTAAGTGTTTCATTTCCAGAACATTTGTAGGGGTATTTTCCTAAATCTTCAAAGGGAGAAAAACTTATACATTGCATTTTAAAATACCATGTATTAAGACATAAATTAAATCGATATAGACAGAAGTTCAAGTGGAACAGATTTAAAAATGGTGGCTTCTAATATCTTCTTATGATGAAATGGCAGTTGCAACAACTCACTGGGACTCAGAGAATAAGTACCTAAAGTTGAATAATTAATAAACATGTGCAGCAAATGAATAATGGTTTCAAAATGGATATGGACGTCGTGGGTGAAGTGTAATGCAAGAAATATTTTTTTCAAGGAAAGAAAAGAGTGTCAAGTTACAAAATGTATATTTCAGAAAATCTTCATTTATGAATGTATATATGTATGTATTTGAATTATATATTTAACAACATAATTGTACTGGAATTATGAGCAGCAGTTATATACGATGTAAAGAAAGAAGATGAAACTAAATAGTTTTATAACAATTATTTTAAATTTAAGCTATGTTTTTGTAAGTTGCAATCCCTTTGGAGCAATTGTTCGGATAAAAGTGACTATTGAAGAAGAGAAAAATAAACTCAGTTTCAACAGCGGCGCAAATGCATCGTGGTTCAGCCTGATTTGTAGAAGGTCATAATGTACATAAATTCTGTATATTCTACTTACAAGAGTTCTTTTGTTATTTTAACTGACATACATACTTATATGTATAGATATTTTTTTATAAAAATTGAAACCATTTCAAAATACCTAAGTAATTCATAAGTCATAAATATGTGTCATAAAAAATAATATTTCTGCGCATCTGAAAATAAGAGGCATTTCTAAAAATCCTTGAACGCATAACTTCCAATTTTCCTCAGTTCAGTGCCAGAAACCGTGGGTCTTGTAATCTGTTGGCGTATATTTTGAATACAGTATTTTTATAGTGTTCGTTTGAAGGGACAAAAATGATCAGAACTGCATCATAGCTTGCAACGGTATACACGTGTACATAGATAGCTAAGCATACGCATACATATTGTTTGGGCATAGTAATAAATCATAAAAATATTTAACGAGCCTGTTCAAAGTAGGACCCTTCGATTGTTTTCGCAGTCAATGCAAAGCGACGGCCACACTGAATTTGCCCATTACACGGTGGAGTGCCGAAATTGTTTGGGCGTCGATGAGATTTGTCTGCTTGACAACAACAATGTGAAGATATATTATATAGAATATAATTAGAATTGTGTAATTTTACAGCCGCAAAACATGTTCTTTTTTGTTGCTGTTAATATTTTTTTCTTATCAACAGGGCGTTACTATTGTGGCAACTATTGAGTTGCTTGCCTCGACAGTGCTATCCAACTGGTAGGAAATCCGAAATGTAGACAAATAAGCGATAACAAGGCCCAGAAACGGAAAACATACGCCAAAACGACATACATCTATTATTCGTTAAAAAATTGTCTATGTCGCTAAATTGCTCACCTTTGCTTGTGAACGTAAATGATTTATTATAAATACTCTGGTGTGGCGCCACCGATCATAATAAGGATGCCTTTTTAACAAAATTAAAGGTTTTAGTTTTGGGAGAGCTATTTGATTGGGAGAAGTTTTATAAGCAGTCCAAAAGACCGGAGTTATTGGATAAACCAAAATTCGTGGCCTTATATGGAACAAGAGAAATATATACATGCATGCACACTTTTATACATTTCATTTTCTAGTTGAACATCTTCRTTGTTCCATTGCAATAGAGTAAATCATTTATTCAATGCAAAATAATGTTTATTATATTAAGCTAACTAAATTGAATTACATATTTGTCATTACTTATAAATATAAACAATGCCATTGATTCAAAACAATTTTTCATAAAACTTCCAATAGCATTCTTAGTTAATTTCTTAAGAAATTATTCATTTCAAAAATATTTTCAAACTTTTCATACCTACATATATACGGCATTATAAAGAGTACTGCTGAAATGATTTGATCTCTGCATACGAATGGAGCGAAAGAAAAGCAACAATTTGGCAACCAGTTGCATTCCGCAAACCAAAACAAGTTGCGTGCTAAATATGGGATGAACTGTGTCCAGCAATGAAATAAAAGCATTTACAAAAATCGCCAAAAACTCAATTCATCGAGCTGATGCTGTGAACTACAATGAGAGTTAAGTTGCGATAACTTGAAACTGTGCGACGCCATTTCCATTACCAGCGACCACAACATTAGCAGCAACATGTAGCTACCAAAAACACAAACAAAACCCTCGAGCAGAGCTTGCATCAACTTGTTCATTTAATGAAGAAAAAGCCAGTGTTACCAACGAAGCACACGCAGAAGACGTCAAAAAAGTATGGGGGGAAAATAAAAGCATTGGCGTTCAGCTCAATCGACGTTAAATAAAAAATGAGGAATGAAAGAAAGGAAAGCAAGCAAAACACTAAGGATAGGAACTTATTAACTAACACATAAAATGTGGAATAAGTGCAACGGRGGGGTGCAATCAACGGCAGTCACCATATCCAGTTAAACTTGCTTCAGCATCGGGAAGCGTCGTGTGCGGGGATAAAATGATGATGAGGGGAGCAAGTGATGGCAAGTGCAGCGAACAAGTAGCAAGATGCACTGAGGAAAAATGTGAGCGAGAATAAAGTAAATGGGCACTTTCGGTCGCAATAACGGCGACATTTACGATTATTTTACGGGCACTAAAAATCAAAAGTGTAATTTACTGAATCGTATCGGGTGTAGAATCAACATCGGGTAGTGAGCGGCGGTGAGTGCAAACCAACTACATTGCGCCTCTAAGTCATCAAATATGCTGAAAAGGTTACGAAGAACTCGCATTGAATTGGGTGTACACAAGGCGTTGTGAAATGTCAGTGAACGAAAACAACAAGTTCGCTTGCTGCCACTAGAAGCACCATGCGGCAATGACGAGAACAGTTTCAACAACATGTACATTGCACMAAAACAAGGATAGCTAACGACCTCACCAACAAAAAAGGAGCCAACACGAAAACTAGTAGTTGTAAGGCAAAGGAACCGCAGTCTGTTGTGGGGTGTGTGAGGCGCTAACAGCAAGTTTTGACTGGTTTGAAGAATACGCGTATAAACATATATTGAACGTTCATTTCTTCCTTAGGTATATTTTGGTTTTGAAAAGGGGGCGAAGGGGCGAATGCCTTCGATGTTCGGGCAAACCTGGAAAGGTGTGTGGCAAGTAATATACTGAGCTGTTTGTCTAACTAATTCAACTGAAGGTAAATTCAATCAACTTCAAATTATAAGAGTTAAACTTTCATAAGTGCATATCAAAAATATTCAAGTACAAATACGAGTTGTTATACACTATCAATAAAATGCACACTGATTAAATAAAACAAAAAATAGGTATAATGTACTTATGAAAATATATCAATATTCCATAAATATTATAAGCATACTCAATGTTGAAATAGTTTTTCTTTTAGTTGGTCTGTTGTAAGTATAAATCACAAATAAATAATACTTTTAGAACTTGCCAGGATGATAGTCAGTGAAATACCTTTAGGTGTATAAGGTTTGTTAGTTTATGGGATCTAAGGCGAGTTTTCCCCAGATTTTATTCTATATAAGAACAAAGGTGCACCCTTATAAGAAAATCACGATCTCTCAATTTTGTTAAGATATCTCACATATTGGCCGACATATGTTCGAAAATCTTTATATTAGGTAAATGGGGGCTAAGAGAAGTATCAAGGAATTATATAATGAGAACAGAATTCCGAACTGATATAATGTATCTGACAGGTTGGCCGATATTTTCGATAAAAAATTCGCAACAGGAATTTTGATCCACATATTCGGTATCTGGGGTCTTGGATAGTTTTAATCCGATGTGGACAAATCGCGCAAAGCTTTATACCGATACATTTAATGGTGCTTAATTTGAACACTGAAAGTTGAAACAATCATATGAAATTTAATGTTGTGCAGCAACAACAATGTCAGCATCGAAATCCAACGCAGAATAACTATTGCCAACAGGTGCTATTTCGGACTAAGTAGGCAATTGAGAAGTAAAGTCCTCTCTTGACAAAAAAAAAAAAACCAAACTTTATTGGTTACCATTATTACCGCCCTGCTATATAGTGCTGAGGCGTGGATGATGAAAAGTTACCCCTTTTTTTTTTTTTGGTCTTTGCGCATTGGCCACGGTGAATACCGCATTCGTTGGCTACGCTGGCCAGGTGATGACGTCCGAATGGACGAAAATACTTCAACTCTGAAAGCTTTCAAAAATGAGAAAATTATTAAACTTCAAAACCGAGATGGTGGAGAACTGCTTTAMAGGAGATCATCGCCGACGTTTATATGAAATCCCATATTTCAGAAACCCCCGGCCAATACCAACTAAATGCAGTATGTGAGATTACACAGCCATTGTTTTCACACTACGTGAAAATGGAAGAAGTTGGACAACAACGCATACTTCTCATATATCACAATTTTAAACTTCTTCTGATTTCTTCAATTTACAGTTTACAAATCGAGAAACATTGTCTCAATCGACACAGCGTACACCTTTAAGTACACCACCCCACGTCTAAAATTAGTCGAAATCGTGTATCATTAATTTCGAGATAATTTTATCCAGATTATATAGTGCAGTTTGTCAAAAATAGAAAATAGTTCTAAAGCAATGTATTCTTTTGTCTCAAAACAAAAACAAAACAATAGTTTGGATAGTTTCTTTAACCCCCTATAAAAATGAGAGAATTAAGTTGATAACCATGCCCTCGCCGATATAATAGTTATGTTGACAGCCATTAAAAAAAGTGGTAAGTTACTAACTAAATCCCAGAGAAGCATTAAATTTTACAACCGATGGAGATAGTAAGGAAGGGCTTAATAGGGCTCATTGTGAAGATAGGACAGGGACTGTCTACTCTTCAAACAAGTTTGCTGCCTATTATTATTCTGATTTATTATGTTAACATACKTTGTAAAAATATGGGATATCGGTCTACACATAAGCAGATATTACAACTTTAAATTCCTTCTAATTTACAGTTTATGATCAAGCACCATAGCATACATCGGAATAAAACTTTGCAAAAATAGTACGTTTAAGATAAGTTCTCTCTCAACCAAAATGCTTGGAATCGGGCTGAACATGGTGCTTTAACTGAGAGTAATAAAATATTCGGGTCCACTCAAATTTACTGCCCTAACACATCATAAGATCTATTGGATTTTTACAAATTGTGAAGACATTACATCGTTTGGTGGAGAGCGTGGCTGCTATCATCACCACTTTCCCATCCATAACAATTCAGATATTATTGGTTGAGATATAATATATTAGATACCCAAGGGATGAA